TACAATCAGCAGTTGCTAGTGGCTTTCTATTAGAATTAAAATTGTTTCTGAGACAGATCACTGCTAATTGACCCAAAACCGTGTAATTTTAATAAAATCTTAATGCCAAAGGTCCTAACTCCCCATTCCCAACCTAGATCCAGCTCTGCAGCTGAGCTATGGGCAGCTCACAGACAGTGCTATGTCCCAAGCTCTGTTCTCCTGCAGGGTTTGACCTGGAAGGCAGAGGTCCGTATGGGTTAGTGCCAGCCCAGGCACATTCCAGAGGGTGGCTGCATCCCTGATGAGACCACTGCCCACCACCTAAGTGCAGCACAGCCATTGTCTATACCAACATGCGCCTTCCTGCACCTGGGACTGTCGTTTCTTCATCTCTCTTCAGTGCTCCACCAGACTGGCAGAAGACATCAGCGCCCAGGTCCTGCTGCAGGACCACGGGTGGCTGATAGCCTCCAGAGTGAGGGGCCCCATGCATGAGCCATGAACTTACCCAAGGGACCAACACTGAGCACTTCTCCATCCTCTGCCTCAAGTAATATCAATTCAGACCTCCTCCACCTCTGTTGTGAGCATTGGGGCTACCAGATGTTCTAAGGAGGGTCCTTGCCTTGTTCCCCACGGTTCAGTACTGCAGGGGTAAAGGTGCACCCCCTTCAGCAGGAATGGAGCCAGGCAGAGCTGATGTGGCAGCACCCTGCTCTCCGCTCAGGTCCTGGAAGGGTTTACTTCCTGAGCTGCTCCTGCAAATCCACATAACTGCAGCAGAGCCCAAAATCAAACCCTGCTTTCCTCCCATCTCAGAGTAGAGTGGAAATCATTACTTCACCCCTTAGCTTCATGCCTGAGTCCATCAATAGACCAAGTTCTGCAGCTATAAATACTCTCTAGAGTCCTGATCACCATTCCCTGCTCTAACACCTACGCAAGTCCATCTTGCTTGTAGATGTACCATCCCTGGAGACATCCAAGGACAGGCTGGATGTGGTTCTGAGCAACCTGATCTAGCTGAAGATGTTCCTGCTCATTGCAGAAGGGTTGAAATAGATGAGCTTCGAAGGTCCTTTCCAACCCAAGCTATTCTATGATTCTCTATTGGAACAAATGGCAGAAAGGGGTATTACATACAGAAGGGCTTTAATTTGCCTTTTTAGAAATTCTGAGTCTGGAATGGTCTAAAATTATGCCTCTCACTGCCTGCACTGAAAAACAGAACATAGTTTTTAAAAGGTGGTGTTTGAAAAGCAAGCCTAAATTAGAAGGTGGGCATAAAACTGTCACTATAGATTTCAACACCTATGGATAATTCCTAAAGCTCCCAGAAAACATGATGTGGTGCTGTTATCATCAGCTTATTGTTACCATGAGCTTACCCGTGCCTCCAACTGACATGGAATCAGCCCTGAAAGTATTAAACCGTAAAGATGTTGCAGTGAAGTGTCATCTAAACTAACACAACATTCACCATCTTTGCTGCACTGTCCAGAGCAAGCTCTGCAGTAGGAAATGTGATGGATCCATATATCGCTAGCAGGGGTAGGTTTTACTGGGGAAAGCTGGTTTTTGAAGCTGGTGACTGAAGAACAGTGATTGAAGAATTCAGTGTTGGTTTTCTTTCGTTTATTTTAAATGAGTGACCTGGACACCTATGACAACATTGTTGTTCTGTCTGCTTATTCCCCATTCAAAAAGAGAACTCAAAGGAGCCTTCTTTAGGAAACAGGACTTTTCCAAACATGCCTATCTGTACTCTGATTGAACCATACCTTGGGGACATAAAGCATGGCAATAAGGCTGCATCTGCTTTTATCACTAACCATAATGATATGCGAGTCTGCCTAGGGAGAAAGCAGCCGAACTCACAACAAATGCAAGACTGTATTTCTTTGGAAAAAGCATCCCAAATTTTTTCTCCCAAATGAGCAAGACAACATCTGGCAGAAGTTTTGCTCTTTACCAACAACTACATTTCATTCTAAAAGCTGACAGCAGATGGAAGGAGAACTTCTGTGTATAGGAACATTTCTGTGGGTATTTTCTTTCTCCCCCTGAATCTGCAGAGCACTAGGCATAGAGAAAGAAAGCAAATCAGAGAAGCCCTTCATGTGATTCTGACTTTCCTTGGAAGAGAATTAATGCTTCAGTCCCCAGCCAGCCCTGACTGCAGATACAAGTAATCACTTTAGCCTAAGCACTTTCTGAGCATCAGCACATCCCTTCAAGGCCTGAATCCTCCACACTTCCCTTTGAAGTGAAGCACTTCCAAGGCAATATCCCATATCCATGTCATGGTTTGACCCTGTGCTCAGATCTCGCCTCCAGCATGAGAGACTTTGAGGTACTTGTAGGAAGAAGTATGAGAACCCATTGGGCATGGCTGAGAGGAGACACCAAGCTGCCACCACAGCAGGCACCAGCTGGGCTGCCCATGAGGCATTGAAATGTGAACAGACCAAGCACCAGATCACCTCTGCCCCAGGGTTTATTTCAAACAGTTCAAGCTAATGGGGAACTGAAACTTACCAAAAAGCTGCTTTTTTAATAACAGAATCATATGAAGTCTTTAATATTCAGCCATCTACTTGATGAAGACAAATAGATGCTAAACACTTCAGAACCTTGCATACAGACAGCACAGTTATTTCCAGCTGCAGGGCTATTATTAAGCTTTATTCCTCACACTATTAATCCCTTTAGAATTCTAAAACATATTCCAAGTAAAAGTTTTGCAGAGAAGGCTTTAAAAAACAAACAACTTAGAAGTTTAACTTAGTCCCTGTGGAAAACATATCCTGGGTTTCATTTCCAATGCTACACTGAGGATAATAATAAACAAGGGGAAACTATGAAGCAAGTAGCTTTGTTTCAAGCCACTGGTTACAGTAGTTCAGGTGCTCATCGTCACTGAATGATACTACAAAGCATCATGTTGTGTAGCTTACAAAACCCATCGGATTAAACAATCCCTATCACTAGGAGCTGTAAAATACCACATCCCCTGAAGTGCCCAATGTTTCCTCCACTTCACCTCCCAGGATAGCTGCCTTCCCAGCTCCACTACCTTTGTTCAGACCTGTTTGTCACACTCAGCAGAGGTTCCTGGATAAAAACCCATGCTGGGAGCAGAGGTGCAGATCACCAAATGCTGATTTTCCTCAAGAACTCTGTGTCACACTGCAGCTTTACAAGAACAAGTGATGTGCTTGGCTTTTTCAAGAGGCACAGCAGAAAATGGAACAATAGAGCAGCAGTACTGAAAGCACAGGGTTCTTCCCTGACAAGCAGCACAGGGCACTTTAGCTTTCCAGTACTGGTGAAGGAAATTCAGTAGTTAATGATGCAAAACCCACCAAGAGATAAGGTTTGAGATGCCTTAATTACCACATTGTGTTTGTGTATCATTGAGTCCTCAGGCTGTGGGTCAGCTTACACTGCAGGAGGCTAAAATACAAAAGCTTTAGAGGGAGGTCAGAGATAGGATCTGCAAATTCTATGGCTGAGCTGAACAATAACGCCACAAAAAGCCTGAAATAAAGCTCCAGCCCAGACCTATAAGGTCCCTATGGCTCTTGCTTCAGAATCAGAAAGGCGGAGAGCTAAGGGGAAGAACGACTGAGGACGCCCATGCCTTACGCGAGGTTAAGGAAGGGGTGTTCTGCAGATGTGAAGAAGAGGAAGACCTCGTCCAACCCCAGCCACCTGAATTCTTAGAAGTATTATTTTCTCTAAGAAGAGAGTTTGTTTACTTCGAGTACACAGACGATGGCATTATGCACTTGCGATTTCCATGAATGCATTCAGCTGGCCCTTCGGCTGCATCTCCCCCTCTCCGATACAAGTGTATGCTCGCTTTGGCACAGTGATTACATCTTGTAATGCTGCAAGCGCAGTGTAATTTTTGTCGTTGCTGTGACAACCATGCTGCTGGTCAGACCTGAAGCAGTAGCTGGCTTCTCCACTGCCAGCCCTGACAAGCACAGCTCTTTGCTTCTTTCCCCTTCTAAATAAGCAGCCTACATATAAAGATTTTAGTAGCTTTACAATCAAGAATTGAAACCTCTTTTTCTGCTTCCAGGAGTCATAAGGCAGTTTGAAGACGAATCCCAGACTGTTTGTGTTGGAGCACCTTAAAGCTCATCCAGTTCCAACCCCCTGCCAGAGGCAGGCACACCTTCCACTAGAGCAGGTTGCTCCAAGCCCTGTCCAACCTGGCCTTGAACACTGCCAGGGATGGGGCAGCCACAGCTTCTCAGGGCAGCCTGTGCCAGGGCAGCTCACAGGGGAGAGCTTCTGCCCAAAATCTAATCTCAATCTCCCCTCTTTCAGTTTAAAGCCATTCCCCCTTGTCCTATTAGTACATATTCTTGTAAAAAGCCCCTCTCCAGCTTTCCTGTCAGTCCTTTCAGGTACTGGAAGACTGTCATAAGGTCTCTTCTGAGCCTTCTCTTCTGCAGGCTGAATACACTCTGTGTTTCTGTGCAGAAACAAGCACATATTCCTCTAGTAGCTGTAGAAGCTCACATGACCTTAAGCACACTGAAATTCTTGCTTCCAATTAAATACGGGTATTAGCTGCTGGCATTAGTACACTAATGAAAGCATGGAAAACATAGCTAAAGGTAATGAAAGCTTTTAAAGGATACCAGAGACATGCCCAAGAAAAAGAAAATCAAACACTGTGCTCTGCATTAACTCTCTTTAAAAGAAAACCAGATATATTTTCAAATTAAGAACTTGAAACTAATAATATTACTATGAAATGGTGTCTGTGAGAATGGACAAGACTGAGCATAACATAGGCAAGGAAAAGGGCAAGAATTTTACATAGGGCAAGAATTTTACATAAACACATCTGAGTTCTGCTGCTGCAGCCTCCTGGGTAGAGAGGAAACTACCACATTTTGCAAACATTAGATTCATACCCAGTGCATCACTTGGCCATGATTTCAAATGCAACCAAGATGACAGAAAAGAAGAAACAAAAAATCCCTTTACAACCAAGATATTTTTCATTCATATTTTATACTGTCTTAGTAAGTGTTAAAATTGACATTAAAGAAACAAACAAAGTCTACTTGGGTATCTTGAGGAGATCACTCCTTTAATAAAAGCATTCGCAACTTTCTGACAACACTTAGTAATGAACCACACTGAACCATGCAGCCACATGGCTGTGGTTGAGGGACCCAGCACTGCAGGGGTCAGTTAAGGAGGAAAACTGCAATGGTTCCACAGAGCATCCCCTGCTCAAGCCTCCCCCAAACATTACCTGGTGCTGCTCCACAAGTGCTGAGCCAGGAAAGTCCAGAAAGCAGGACTGCTAAGAACCTGGAGCTATCCCCAAACTGGAACTTGGTTGAGAGTAAAAGTAACTAAAAAGGAAGATTATTAACTAACTTTCTAAGAAGCTATTCAGAGGAAGTCCAGTTTGCTGCAGGAAGTATAGCTCTCTTCAGTTCACACTGCTTATCACACTCAGCCACTCCCCATCTTTGATATTACTGATGTTTACATAAGTAGCATAAATTACAAACCAGCATCACTATAAATACAGGTTCCTTTGGAAAGCAATTTAAGCAATTGACAGTACTTCAAACCAGCTTTTCTCTACCACTGATCTGGCAGCTAGCAAAAAGTAATGTGACAGTAAAAAGCATGTGAACAGAAAAACATTAATGAAACACAAACTGATTTAATTAGAACTGAAAAGGAAGACATACTGCAGGAATAAAAACTCAATACACAGCAATTATTAATTATGAAGCTGATGATGATCTTGGAAAAGCATATGGGAATTCATGACCAAGTATTCGGCCTTGCATTCTGAGGAAAAGGGAAGGTACACCCACGACCTTCCGAGTCCTTCAGCACCACTGCACATAGAACTGTACTACTTGATATATTTTTCCATGAATTTTTTGTGGAATTCTGATCGCAGAGTATCATTCACAAATCTTTTGTCCTTTTTGGATTCATCCAAACCCTTGGCACAATTCTTGAAGACAACATCGTCATCCCATCTGAAAAGGAAAGTTTGGAACTTCAGTAAGCTTGCATGAAGATGAGGTGCAACTTACAGAAATACATAAATGAAGCTTGGCCCTCCTATTTAAATGTACATAGAACAAGTAGTCACAAGGATTAGATCTCAGAGGAAAAACAGATCTATTTTTCTAATCCAAACCATCTCCTACATGCTCCTGAGTTAGAAGTGAGATAAGTATCAGCAGATTAAAGGTTATTTGAACTTACAGAAAATAAAGACCATCTGAGCAGAGCAGAAAAAAAAACCTTTAATCTAATGGCCCTATTTTTGATAAACACAACAGTCATTGGAATATCTGCAAATGAGAACTCTATTGAGAAAAGGACTGCTAATCACTAATTCTGGTTACACTACAAGAAATAAATAAAAGCTCCCAAAGCAGCCAGATTTTAAAGGGAAGCACAACATCAGATTATTTTAGGAACTCTGGTCCCATTACTTTAGTCCTGTTTGCCTGCACTATGTCAGACAAACACAATGCTCAATCTCTCTTTCCCTCTCTTTTAAACAAAAGGAGCAGGATAATTTGTTCAGAGAAATGCAGAACACAATCACCACATGCATCAGTATCCTGATCCAATATTACACTGCCGTGACAAGGTCCGCGGAAGGAAGTAAAATCCAACAGCAGTGATGATGTTTTATGACTCAGAGTATCAAGAAGGAGCATGGGGATGGGTGCCCCAGTACATGGTGCACAGTACCTCCTCTTCACTTTGAAGTTTGCTTGAGGCTGTGCTGGGCCAGTAAGGTTCAACAGGGGGTTACCACTCAGGATGTTCTCCATCCGAATTCTTTCTTCTTCAGCCTTTTGCTCTTGTTCCTGTGAACCAGAAATTGATGTATTACTTTTCTAAGCCACTCTTCTCATCTAGTTGGTAAAAAGAAACATTATTTAGCTGTGAATACTCTCACAGACAGAGCTTTAATTCCTAACCCAGACTTCTCAGGGCATTTGACACTTACATATGAGTAAAATAAGGATAGAAGCAGAGATACCCTAAAGAGCTTAACATGGCTGATGAGGTGTCAATCTAGCAACATTCCTATCTGCTCTGCTTACCTCCGATGTTCCATCAAATATTCAGTTCAATTCCAGCTTTACCATTTACATATTTATTACATTAAAAACTGTATACAGATTAAAAGATTTTCTTTATCCTCATGAGAAAAGAAAGTACATTATACAGTAGTCATTAGGTGGAAGAAACTTTACAGTATGCTGAAACTTCTTTATCTTAAGCAATCTGCTTGGGTTTTACAACTACAACTTCCCTAGGGATCAATTAAAAAGAACCCTGAGAAATCTTAAGGTGACACTGAGCAGCGGAAGTCGTAAGACTATTCAAGAGTTCCAATATTAAGGAACAGAATAATTTTCATCTCCTTGTACCATCAAAAGCACATAACTCAAGCCTAAGCGAAGTAATGCACTACAGGCTACACAAAGTACATTTCACTGCCTACACTTCCAAGCTGTATTAATATATTTAGTGACTTGAATGTTCACAGACATCAAAATGAATGTGTAATATTCATTTTACATCAATGCATTTTGCACAACCTTTCAAATACACTGCAAGGGCTGCTCTTTGATGAAAGTACCAGAATAAGTTTGGATGACTAACTAGGTCTCCCACTTCCTATATGCTTAAGTGTGATCTGAAGATATTCTAGTTAAAAAATACACTGATGCCTCACTAGCATTGTTGGAAACTAAAACCATGGCTTAGAAGAAATTATATAAATGAAAGACAAAGAGATCACAAGGTTGTGTTTTTTTTTGTTCCCAAAATGACACAAAATCCATGGCAGAGGGGATCCCAAAAGAGGAAATGTGTTTCTTCATGGTAGTGGTTACAAGGTTTAAGCATAAACTTGAACACTGATGCTAGCCAGAGCTCTCCAGCATCAAACGTTTAATCAATGCCAAGTGATGTATTATTAAAGCTATCTACAATTTATGATGTTTTTCAATTGGACTGATCAGGTATGTGAAATATTCCTATCACCCCAACTCTATTCCAACTCTCTTAAGAACTATACCACATTAACATACATAATACCATGCATAGAGGACGCCTGGCCACTGGTACAGATTTTACCTTTCAAAGCCTACCTGAGTTTTAGTTATTAAAAAACACCTACCATTACACTGCTTCTCACAAATACAATGTAGAACCAGCTGCAATTAATTGCCAGTAGGATGGTAGTATTATATTTTTGCTTATTTACTGGGGTGGTAGTAACAACTGAAGCTGGAATGCAAATGTTGGATTTAAAGCTATGCTTGAAAACACAAAACTTCAGTTTATTATAGACTGCTTTGGGTTGGAAGGGCCCTTAAAGCTCATCCAGTTCCAACCCCTGCCACAGGCAAGGCCACGTTCCACTAGAGCAGGTTGCTCCAAGCCCCATCCAACCTGGCCTTGAGCACTGTCAGGGATGGGGCAGCCAAAGCTTCTCTGGGCACCCTGTGCCAGTGCCTCAGCACCCTCACAGGGAAGAATTTTTTTCCTGATCTCAGTCTACCCTCTAATCTCAGTCTACCCTCTTTCATCTTAGAGCCATTCTGCTCTGTCCTATTACAACAGGCCCTTGTCAAAAGTCCCTCTCCAGATTTCTTGCAGGCACCTTTTAGTCACTAGAAGGCTGCTGTAAGGCTTTCCTGAAGCTTTCTCTTATCCAGGCTGAACAAGCCCAGTTCCCAGCCTGTCTCCACAGCAGAGGTGCCCCAGTCCTCTGATCATCTTTGTGGCCTCCTCTGGACTCATTTCGACAGCTCCACGTCCCTCTTGTGTTGGGGGCCCCAGAGCTGGATGCAGGACTGCAGGGGATTGCCACAAGAGCAGAGTAGAGGCAGAATCCCTTCCCTTGTCTTACTGGTCATTCTCCTGATACAGCCCAGGACATAGTTTCTGGGCTGCGAGCACACACTGCCACGTCATGTCCAGCCTTCCATCAACCAACACCCCCAACTCATTCTCCTGCTGCTCCCAAACTAGTCCCTCTCTTTTATCTGCTTTACATAACCCATGCAATATCCTTCAGGCCCAATTAGCCTGACATAGTTCACTTTCTGGTAACAAAAAAAAAAGCATTATCAAACTGAAGTGATGAAATGTGGTGATAGAAAGAAAAAAAAAAACAAACCAAAAAAAGGGAAATCAAAACTGAAATAACAGTTTTAAGAAGCATTACACTACAAGTAGTATAAGACTAAGAGTAGAATTTAGCTCCAGATTAAGACACCTAGAAGTAGACATCTGCATCTGTTTGTAGGCAGCTGAGCTCACATCTCAGGGATATCTATATAATATGGTTCAGAGAGATCTAGAGAACACAGTAAGGAGTCAAGATGGCTTTTCTGCTCACACTGAAGTACACACACACAGGACATCAACCATGCTCCAGGCTCTACTGACTGCACCTCCCCTGCACCACCACGGAAGCTGGGATATGGAACTTGTGCATCGACCCAAACAACTTGGCACTCCAAGCTCAACTAAGTTCTGTCCAAAACTGCTAATTGCTAGCAAAACGCTGCACTGACTCAAGTTAACCACAATTCCAGAAGACTGGAGGGCAGCAAAAACTGCACTATAATTAAAAGAAGTGGTAGGGGCAATCTTGGAAATTTCAAATTATTACATTTTACTTTTGTACCTATTACGTTACTAAACCCAATTATGAACATAATGCAAGCAGAAGCTGTCAAATGTTCTTCTATAGTGACAACAGGTACAGAAAACATTCATCAGTCTTATTTTCATACACTGATTTTCCATATTCACAGTACGAGATGCTGCAGAGCCCCTGGCACTTGGTGTGATTCTTTGCCGCTTCTCAGCTCTACTTAAAACCAGAACTCTGTTGTCTTTCAGACACACAGAGGCAGAACAAGCAGAAGTAGTAACAAACTGCGTAAGTTTATCTTTGTCATTAAAGATCAATAGGTGAAAGTCTGAAAGCAAACAGGGAACAGCTCTGTTGAGTAAGGCAGAGACAGGTTTAGGCACATTACAAAGACCCAGCATGCATGATAATTCACCTGTGGAATTCAGGCATTCAAAGTCCCTTCCCATGGCAGGGAGGTTGGAACTAGAGGACCTTTAAGGTCCCTTCCAACCCAAACCACTCTATGGTGGAGCTGTTCCAGGTTGGATGACATTTCAGTGTATTTGCTACAAGTTTTAGGAAGAAGACTAATTCTGAAGATTAGTCTTGAAGATTTTTTGTATTATTTGGCTTCACTAAAAACTCCCAAAGAAGGTATCCAAGATTTTAAACAAGGTAATTTACTAAGTTTTGTATCTTAAAGGCATGACATGAAGGAAATATGAGGCATGGTGTAAAATTGACATTTATACTTAAGCTAAGTAATACATTTTGGCCAGAGCTCCAGAATCCCTCATCTCCAGCCAAAAGAGGTTTCATTATGTTCCACAACTTTCCACATAAATCTTCCACTGCTCATCCTGCTGAAAGCTCCAGGCGATGGAGCATGGGTTGTATCAAATCTAACAGACCAGACATAACCTTCATAGCTGTCTGAGCTTCACACCTCTGAGGCACCATCAAGTGCAGCTGTTCACAGAATAAGAGGCTCTGGTTGCTCCAAAGCCTACATTGTTCTTTTGTGTGGTGGAACAAAGGCTTATTCAGCTGAAACACTACGGCTACAACAAACCCACAACACAAGAAAAGCCTAAGGGGAAAAATAATACCTATATTCACTTCACCCCTTCTAAAGTAATGCCTCTTTGCCTGTCCATTCAGCAAGAGGTATCCAACTCTTTTCCTAAGCCATGTTCACAAAAATCCTGCTCTAGATGATTCTCTCACTACAGACAGCAGGGCTGTGCTTTTCAATGGCAGCATGCTGCACCAACTACCTAGAGAGAGGAACTGGACGGCAACCATGTTGCAACCACTGTGCTAGAGTCAGAGGCAACAGAAGAATAGTATTAATGGTGCTGGGAATGAGACTGGACTGGCAGAGAATCCCATACCCTGAGAAAGCAGATGGAGACGCTGCCCTGTGAACGGATCTCACAGCAAGCGTCACTGTACAACTGAACTCACCATGTGGCATCACAGCTGGGAGAAGAAAAAAGGAGGACAAAACTGTATTAACCTTAACTAAACAATTATTCTTTATCTTGCTGTAAGAATAACAGTTCCTTGGCATATTCGTATTTGTTTCTGACCACAAAGGAAAAAGAAACATTACTGTTACCATGGTTATTTTTTTTTTAGTATAGCTCCTACACTGAGCACAGAGCAAGATTACTTTTACAGAAAGTGCTGAAATTCCTGAAATGGCTCTGTTGTATTACAGTTATCCTACTTGGTTTTTAGGGATGTGAAGTAGCCGAATGAAAATCTGAAATACCCACATTTCATTGAAGGCTGAAAAAAAAATAAAGAATCACATAACCTTATTTAAATGCTAATTTGTGAATGACAAACTATGACAGCACTGCCTTCAGCAGCAGGGAATGAAGCAAGTTTCACCCCAGTTATTTAATCCAATGCAAATTCCTAACTATGTAATACAGTGATGCACATAACTGATTGAAGCATCAAGGGCACAGAGTAATCCCAGCTGTGGTGCCTATATACAGATTTGTTGTCATTTTGCTCACAAGGGAGGGGACATTATTGTCAGATCTTGGAAAGAAAAAGTATTGTGAACATGTCTCAAACATTTAACGAAGAAACATATTCTGCTTTTGCCTCTTTACTAAAATTATTATTTCATCATCAATTTTAATCACTGAGACCCTTAAAACTTAAGTGAAAGGGTTAATGCCTATCAAGATTCATCTTCTAATGTTTTATGTGAAGTCTGTGACATGGCTAAAACACAGGACACAGCTAAGATCTGTTTTGGCCATTGGTAAAGTGACATATTCAGTTATAGAGGGCGGTGAGGCACTGGAACAGATTGCCCAAAGAAGTGATAAATGCCCCCTCCCTGGCAGTGTTCAAGGCCAGGTTGGACAGTCTTGGATGTCATTTCTAGTGTGAGGTGTCCATGGTGGTGGTGGGGGGGTTTGGAACTGGATGATCTTAAGGTCCTTTCCAACCCTAACTATTCTATGGTTCTGTGATTGATAAACACTGAAATAAAACTGTTAAACCCAAGCCAACAACTTTCAGTCTGTTCTCAGATAAGCATAAAATGACTGGATGTTAAAATAGCTTTGCTGGAACTGCACATTCAGCTGCTCCCTGGTTTTGAGGTTTGGTTTTAATTATTTACATTCACCTTTTAAGGGAGTGCTCAAAACCTGAAAAATCATGAGCACTGTAATGCTGGATTTGGAATATTGAAATGTTATCCATGGATACTTCACACACACATAGAGCAGGCCTGTGCTTGTAGAGTTTTAGACAGACTCAGAATTGGGACAGAAATGGCTTTCAACTCTAAAATGTTCTTGTCAGTTTAGTGTCTACTAGAAACAACCTGAAAGATTAAAACTGTGGAGAGCTGGAGAAAAGACAGGAAGGCTCCCCAACTCAATCAGGTTTTAAAAACATGTGTAGCATTTATTTAATGTTTCTACAGAATTCAAAGGAATTCAAGCATTTTGACATGTTAACAAGCCTTGACAGGACTTGCTTATTTGGTTAAGAAACTGTATGTAACACAGATTACAGGGAAGTTATCAGCGTGAAGGAAGTCAGACCTTCTTAATTCTAATCCTTGTCAAAATTAGGTTTAGAGGATTTTTATGGAAATTGGTGTTACCACAGAAGGGAAATTAACAGAGGGCATGATGAGCTGAAAAAAAGCAGTTTCTCATCTTTTAACTGCTGTCTCACCAGAGATGCATTTGAAAAGGAGACTTCCTTTCACAGCAACTTAAATACTGGACACCAAAGTGATGATGGAAAACAGTTAACAAAGATACAGCTTACTTTAAAAGAAGTCTCAGAAATTACTGGACCAGCATTTTAATAAATCAAAATAACTATCAGGGAAAAAACTGCATTTTACACAAATTTGGGATATATTACTATATTTTACCCACTGCATCTTGTTACAACCCTGGCATGTTCCAAGAAGATGCAGAGACGTTAATCTGTCTGTATAACAAAGAGATTTGAGAATGATGAGTGAACAGGCACTCACCACCCTGCAGTTTCCCTTTGCTGTCCCACTCCGTCTACTATGGGCAGAAGAGTTTCAGCATATAAACCATCCCTGTATATGGATTAGGACTAACAGCAACTACACAATTAAGACTTTACATTAGATGTTATCCTGAAGTCAGCTGCATGACTAATATACAGTTACTTACAAAACTGGGTTTAAATTATGGTTTCCAAAACATAAACAACATGAAAAAAAACATGTATCTGAAAGGAAAAAGGATTTCTATAGGATGGCTATAAAATGCTTTGACAGTAACACTTTATTTCAAAGCCATGTAAAACAAGGCATAATCTAAGAAGATTATACCACTAAAGCCAACACACATACATGATTGTTCCTAAGGAGACTTGTGCTCCTAAAGACTCTTTCCAAGACCGCACCCTACCTTGGTTTTTACTTTTGCCACCAACGTTGTCTTCGTTTCCTACTCTGAAAAACCCACAAGAAAATAAAATCCCAAGTACCTGCAGAGCAATCACTATTTACTGAAGATGTCAATTTTTAAGAGAGCCTATGTGCCAACAACCAGTCTCAGGATGAACAGAACATACAGTGAGTGTACAATAGTATGCACTACTGCAAGTAAATAACTAACACTATTTTTTAGGAAGAAACAAACATTAGTTTCAGATAAGTGTGTGTGTATTCAGTATGCACATAGCACATAGCATTGGACATGATAAACCCTGCATATGGGGGAAGCAGAACATCCATGAAGGTAAAAAACAATACCAGCTAAGAGACAGCAAAATAAACCAAGTGCTACACTAAATACTTCAGAGCTTTTGGCACCCTCTAGTGACAAAACATCCTAGAGATGGTAACATTCCATTCTCTGCAGGAACAGAGAAGCATGCACTTGGGTCTGTGCTGCAATTTACTGCCATACTTTTTATAATGCAAGTTTTCTATAGCGAAATGTGACAAGTTATGCTCTTCAATCCAGATGTGCAATTACAACTACCAGGCAAAGTAAAAACCCCCTACCGATCTAAGCTTTCATTTTATGCGCTGTTCAGAACAGCTGAAGACTTTCCTAGACATTGCTACTCTTAATTTGTAAGTTAGTACATTTCACACAGGAACACCTGGCATAACTGTTGCCAGTGTTTTTCGGTCATTTTCACCATGTTATTATTGCAGAATACAATTTAATTACTATGTGATGTACTTCAAATGTCTCCGTATAGAGATGATAGATGCTTTCAGACACACTCCAACGTAAAAGACCCCTCACAAGCCAGATGGAGAATCGGGTCTCAACAGCCTTCTACAGCAACATTTCTGCACTGAAGCAGCACAGTATAGAACCTTTTACTCTTCCAAAGTACTTCATTCCAAAACTACTTCAAACTCTGAACAGAGCTCACTGGTTTTGCTGACCTTGCTGATTCTAAAGGTAGATTTCTGTATTAGCCTGGAGTAAGCACGCACTCCATTGCTGCCCACCGCAGTTAAAACATTATTCCCTGATGGCTTTCCCTAGTTGCTGCTAGATGCTGTGCCTGTTCACTGCCAGCTCACTCTTCTGGAGAGCATTCTTCAAAACCATTAAACTATAAAAGTTTGTGTGTTAATCCAGAGGAAAGGTTACAAACAGTTCAGAGACATCAAAGCTGTCACAGTACCCTTTGATTAGCCTCTTGATCAACATTTAATATGTTTATTTAGCATGCTCTGAAAACCATCTCAGATTACCCTATACAAACATGACAGGTGGTTTGTTTGGGGGATGTGGGGGCTGTGTTTGTTCGCTTTGGAGTTTTTGTTTTGGTTTTTTACACTAATCATAGAATCAACTAGGTTGGATAGGACTTTTAATATCATCAAGTCCAATCACTACCTCAGGACTGCCAAGGCCACCACTAAACCGTATCACTAAGGGCCTCATCTACATGGTTTCTGAACACTTCCAGGGATGGTGATTCTACCACTGCCCTGGGTAGCCTGCTCCAAACATACAAAACTACTCCAACTGAAGCATGCAACATTTTTCAAAAGCACTAAAACTATTTAAGCCCTACTCTGAAAATGAAAGTGCCTACTAAAAGTGGAAGAGGGAATCCTGCACATACCCACTACTTCTGCGGCACCACCAGAGGCAGAGCATTTCAGTACTGCAGATGAAACAAACACCTGGGCTCTAAACTCTGCTGTAACACAATGTTAGAGCCAGTACCATTCATCCTAAATCCTGAACACCTTGGCAACAGACTATACTCACAAACAGTCCCTAGAAGTCCATTTAACCATCAGAGATTTTGTTTCTGCAATCCATCCCAACAATCTCTCTTACACCAAGGAGGTGGGGGGGCCAATAGCACAGGATTTGATCCCGTTCATGGGGAAACAATCTCTAACCACAGGATGTCCATTAAAGGAAAAAGTAATCTTGACACCAATTATTAGACAGAAGAACAAATTCATCATATCTGAGAAGAGTTTTGAAGGACACTTACATTTACCAGTTCTCACTCATCCCAGGTACTTAAGCCACACCAGTTGTAACTAACACTAGTCTGCAAAAAGCAGATGCTCTTTAAGGGGTGAGATTTTACCTTTCGAGCCTGTTCCTCAGCTCGTTCTTTCTTGATTTTTTCCAGTTCAGCCAGAAGAGCTGCAGTGTCATCATCATCGCTGTCTTCCAACTCCTCATCTTCATCATCTTCCTAACAACAAATGGGAACAAGAAGCTGCTTTTTCATTTCATTAAATAGAAATAGCCACAGTCTGCCCATCTAAGGTTGCAATTTGCTAATGGCTGATTTCTGAAGTACTTGTAGCAGCAGCAAACACAATACAAATGGTTTATTTGCTCTTGTATAGTATAGTCAAGAAAAAAACATGTTCAGGCTTTTTGGATGACTGCAGTTAAAGCTTTTATAATTCAAATGCTAAGTAGCTAATAGATTCTAGAAGCTGTCCCAAATCACTCTCCAATCATTGCAATTTAAATCATTATAACAGTGTGCCTGAATACCCTGTCCAATATTGATGGGACCAAATATAAGAGGATTAAAAAACCCTTGCACTGTCAAACCTCAGACCTAACTTCTAGACATTAGCATGAGAAGAGGAGCCAGGAGCAAGAATTCACTGCCCATGCAGACAGTCAGTCTATCTCAACAGTTCTACCTTTGGGAATTCTAACTAACCCAGTAGTTGACTGAAGGGTAAAAAGCCTCCCATTCCCCATACTTCAAGTGGTATTTTCAGTTCCCTAATTTTTGTGTCCTTTCCAAGAATACCATTAGACTATGGACCAGAATCCTCCAAACCACTCTGGACTTCCACCAACGTAAAGTAATCCTACAACGAAGATCTGCTGGAATCTTAGATCTTTAGCAAACCTAAAAATACATTCCTATTAACAGCAAATCCTGAATGCAAGACAATAAAAAAGGAAAGACAGAAAAAAGATACATACATCAGTAAGGGGATCATCTGCATCAAGATTTGCTGCTGGAATCTGGTCTAGCCGAGGCTTCTTAGACACAGAAGATGATGATGTTGTGTGTTCTATGGCATAAGATTTAAAAAAAACAACAAAAAATGACTAAATCACTTCATTTAACAGAATCAAATGTCAGAAAGCAAAAATCTTCACAGACTGTCTTGCTTAAGAGATACAAGCTTACACTTACTTCTTCCTCACTTCTTAACACCATGCCCAGTTTCTCCCCACCTCTGCTCAAGGGAAGCAGAAACATGTCCAAACTTCCATCTAGGCCTCTAGAAGTTTTCTGAAGTTATTATTTTACAAAGAAAGAACAGCAGAAGAAAAACCTGTGCACAAATATCCTTATTCTACATATCCAATTGTAAGGTTCCCATTGAGCATTACTGTTGGCTAGTATGGTCCAAACCACATCTGCTTTCATCTGTGAATTTGAAAGCCCCACAATACCACCACACCTAAACCTGAAGTACGTAAATTCTGTCAAGCTTAATACTAAAAATGAGTATTTATCAAAACAAACCCCTCAGGTTTTCATTTTAATTATCACTTCACCTTATCTGAACAGAATTCCACACTTCAAAAATAGATTTATTGTTACACTAGTGCTGTAACACTAGAAGATGAGTCACTCCCCCTCTCCTTCCTGTCTCACTTGTCCAAGCACAGAAAAGAGCCCTCTATTAGCTGTTCAGACTTGTTGCCAATTCATTACACTCACACTGTATCAGCTGGCCTGCAGGATGGCCTGTGCTCTCCTACTGCTGGCCTGGATTTCTGATAGCACGAAGCCAAGAGGAAAGCCAGCGGACATTCCCTTTCAGGTCAACAGCTCTGAACTATCAGACCAATACCCCAAATTCTACTCTCATGACATGCTGTCTGCAACCTGCAAACTTCTTACCAGGTTTTGTGGAAGAGCAATGCCACAAAAAGATATTAGGATGTTTGTTTCTTTGTTTTTACCTCTCGTTTGCCTGTCTCTGTTCTTCTCTCTTGCAGCAACGCGTTCTCTCTCCTCCAGCTCCCTTCTGAAATCCCGGTTACGCACCTCCTCAGGAGCATCCTGAGTGGCCTGTCTACAACAGCATGAGAGTGGAGGAAAAAGCTGAAGTTGATCGTTTGCAGCCGGGAGCAATTTTTTCACGGGGGCAAATAAATCCTTGGGTGAACAAGTATGTACAGAGAGTAAGAACTGGGTACCATGCAGACATGCTTGTTTATTCTCTCTTCATCAGTCTTCTTTTCTGTATGCATTACACACACAGACATGCCATGCCACACACACATGATGCTTCCAGTGGCTCTCCAAAGACCCTACACAAATTCCTACAAAAGCAGGATGACTACATCTACCTTTTGTAGCTATGGCTAAATCTTCTGTTCCCCAGCAGTCCAAGATGAGTGTCCTAGGAGACATCCATGAGAATCATGGTCAACTTCCCTCACTGTTTTATCAAAGTTGCTGCTGCAAGCCCAGTCTCTAAGCTTACAGATAAGACCTAGACTAGAACATACCTTTCATAAACTTTTCCCCTCTGAGAGACAGATAATCTCCCATGACCATTAAAAACAAGAGCTGGGAGAACAGGCAAAGCACTAGCTTTGGTGAAACATATTGCAAATACGTGTTTCTCCCCCTTTTCTATAATAAACACTGGCCAAAAGCAACAGACTATTCATATTTGAGTCACACAAAGTTCCACCTAGAGAGCACTGAATTTTCTGTGGAAATCTTGAAAAGAACTAATGAATAAAAACAAGCAGCAATTCCTTTCACCTTTCTGTGAACTCAGTGCTGGAAATAAGAGTGCCTGGAAGAAACACAGGCATGAGCCATTATAAATAAATAGTGTGCACAGCCTGTCTTTATAATGAAGTATTTAATTTGCTTGTGTAATTAAAAACCTGGACTTGGAATCCCTGATATAGCTGAAAAATCTCCCCAAACTCTAAACTTGAGTGGGACTAAAACACTGAACTTCTCTTGGAATGGTGCAGTCCTGGCAATTTAACAAAGACCACTTTGTATGAGGTATTTGCGAGAAAGACCAGAAGACACTTAACGGCCCCTCCATCTCTCTCACACACAGGGAGATACTTGTTAAAACATTGTATATTCCTGTACATGTTTGTCCCCACACACTTTGTTCAAACAACAGACCCGTGCCTCAACCCCACTTCTGTTTAAAGAAACAAACCCACAGCAATGTTTCCCATAACAACAAAATGCAGGTGAGAGCACTTTTTGTGCTGCTGCTTTTGGTATTCTTCAAAACACTCCAACTCCCTTATCCATACATGTTCCTAAAAACCAAAAGGGCAGGAGGGAAGAGGTGAAAGGGTAAATATCTGGACAAAAAAGTGCAAACATAAAACCTTTGCAGTAATTTCACCAACAAGAGTAACATCAGTTAGATAAAAAGAACATTTTTAGGCTGACACAATTTAAATTCTAGGCATCATATCACACTGACTCCAGTTTTCACTTAATCTGTCAAAAGGATAACGAAGAATTATTATGTCTTTCAAAGAGAGGAAAATATTCCTAGTATCCCATTATCTTTCTCACTGATTAAATCCATTTCCTCTCCCAGCACCTGCAGTGTTCAACATCAGCTCTTCCAATATGTGCTATTGCCCAAGTGTTATTCTGTGATTTCCCTGTCTCCTCCTAATGCCCTTCTCAAGTGGTTAATGCCAAATACATGATGTGGCTTTACCCTACTTTAAAGATATGCTCAACTTCGCTCCTCTTATCCCATCTTGCCCATTGAGCCCTCTGTGGCTCAATCTCAATGACAACTTTCTTCTACTCCACTGCCCAAAATGCTCGGTGTCCAAAGCACACCTTCTTCTAACACCATGTCCATAAGCAGTAATAAATAACACTAAAATTAAACCTCTCCTAAGTCTGCTTCTAAGACTTACACTTTCAGCCCACTCATTCAACACTGCCACACAGTCTCCAGTGCCTGTTCAAGCACATAAACATCTGCTGTGAAAATTCCCAGCCTGTTTTGCTGTAAGACTAAAAAAACCCAATACTAACCTGTATTTGATTTTAGTATGAGAAGGAAGGTCTCTGCTGGAATACTGTTTGGATAGCTGACTTAAGTCTCCTTCACCTTTTCCTCTTCCTCCTCTTGCAGGTTCAAATGTTGGCCTTGCTGCTGTCGTCATTTTAACTACTACAGAATGAAGGGATAAAACCAGGTCTTATTACAACATACAGTGAAAGACTTCCACTGGGAGCTACTTTGTTCCTGGAACTACTGAAGTTATGACAAGTCCCACTACAGAATACCAGCTATCACTTGGCTCACGATCCTTGAAATTTAAGGAGCTTTTTATTGATAGAATTGACAGAATCTATGCAAATTTTCAAAGTAAAGTCTTTCCCAACATGCTTGAAAGATTATACACAGACTCTAACAAGAATATGAAGCTATGTCTGTAAAGTAAACAGAACTGTCCAGATGGTCTCCTGACCTTAAGACAGCAGTACAGTCTTGTAACGAAACTCTTTCCCCTCCTGAAATATGATGGCCAAAAATAACAGGCTCCTGGGAATGACTCCTTATTTATTCCCCAAACCATATCTAGGCATCATAATAAGAAATACATGCTGACATACAGCACAGCACGCCAAGGATGGTGTTGATAACTAAATACTGATGAAGGTCATGCAACTTGAATGCTCCAGTGCTTGTTCAGCTCTGTAGTTCCAGGCACAACACTCTCACTAGTGCTGCAGCACAGTCCTTCAGGAGCCACGTGCACAGAGCTCCACCTGGCCAGCAAAACCTTCTGAAGGGCTGCTGTCATTGTCTCCCTGGTGGCACAAAGCTTTACCCTCTGGGAAGCCAAGTGCAATTAAAAAAGTTCAGGCAAACACAGGAGTCTTCACCAGTTCTCACACAGAGCCTGCAGGAACTCGTACACCACCAGCATGTCCTAAAAAATTCACTACCCAAAATTGTTACTATCAATTCTTGTGCGGCAAAGGACTAGAACAGACTCCATCAGCCTCAGCCACACAGAGAGACCATCAGCATGCACTGCCTTCAGTGCTCCACATAGGAGCTGGGGACCCTTGCAATCACAAACCCCTGTGCCAAGAACCATGGAATTAACTAGGTTGGAAATGACCTTTAAGATCATCAAGTCCAACCATTACCTCAGGACTGCCAAGACCACCACTAAACCATGTCACTGGGGGCCTCAGTTTTAAGATGTTTAAGATGTTATGATGAGGGTTTTAAGATGTTTAACCAATGCCAAAAAACTTAACATGATGAACCAGTGCCATCTTAAATCTACTATCTGAAACTATGCTCATTTCTGCTTCATCAAGACACACACATCCATTAGCCACAGACTGAAGACAAGACACAAGAGAGACACATCTGCAGATGAATGCATGTATGACAAAAGAACATACTAAAGAATGTTAAAAAGCAAAGAAAACATGCTATTGCTTCATATGCTTTTGTGATACACAAATAAAAGTTATTAATGGTCTGCTTGCATTGTTGGTTATTTTTTTCACTTTCAATGAGATCACAAAACACGACTTCAGTGTTAAAATGATAAAATAATTTGTTGCTCAAAATGACATCCCATTGGGCAGAACAGTTACTACCACTGAACTCAGTGAGGCAGTACCCAGCCTCGGCTCACTGACATCTTTCAGTGCCACGGTCCAAGTCAGCTGAGGCTGCAGCCCTTCGATCCAAGAAAGCCACTTGCTCTCAGAATTATCCCTGCTAATTAGATGCAACCCGGGGATCCATTAATTCAGGTGAAGAGACAGATCCAATGTGGCTGTATAATTGCATGAAACATTAAGAAATCCTCCAGAAACTGTCCCTGCTTTTCTTAAGTCAGTTTGTATTCGGCTCGGCTTTAAAGGACTCAAACTCGACCTGAAACCACTCAGGGACCGTCACGCAGCCTCTCGGGTTGCAGAAACGGAGCCCTGCAGAATCCTGGATAGCGCTACACTGAGACAGGACCGGTCACGCCGGGGTTAACACCCGAGAGACAGCGCCCGGGCTCGGCCTGGAGCTGAACTGCCCACAGCCAGACCCTCCTGACCGCCTTCACGGGCAGTCCGGGCCGAGAGTCAGTGCCCGCCGGCGGCCCCTTCACCCCCTGACCGACCCCGCCACCCTCACGGCTCTTCTCAGAAACGCGGCCCCTCGTCCGCCCACGGGGCCTGTCCTGCCTCAGCCCCGCAACCGTGCCGCAGCCCCCCAACACTCCGTGCCCCAAAGCCGCCCTGTTTGCCCACAGGGACCCCGGACCCTGCCGCCGCCCGCCCGCCGCCTGCCCAGATACTCACACAACGACCTTCTTCCACCTCGCCTTAGCCAGGCCCTACGCCACCACCATCATTCCGCCAAGCACCCACAATGCACCGCGCGGGGACCAGGCAGAACGTGACGGACGCTGCCGCCGGAGGAGGACTTACCATAGAGAGGGCTGGCGGGACTGCCACCTGAGGGAGGAGAGTGTGTCCGCCATGATGGCTACCGAGGCGGAAGTGGGCGCTGGAGCAGTGGCGCTGCCGGGGGAGCAGTGTCAGCTTCCTCCTCTCCCTCCTCTTCCTCTTCTTCCTCTTCTTCCTCTTCTTCCTCCTCTCCTCATAGAATCCCAGACTGGTTTGGGTTGGAAGGGACCTTCAAACTCATCCAGTTCCAACCCCCCTGCCACGGGCAGGGACACCTTCCACTAGAGCAGGTTGCTATAGACCTCATCCAACCTGGCCCTGAACACTGCCAGGGATGGGGCAGCCACAGCTTCTCTGGGCACCCTATGCCAATGTCTTGTAGGGATGATGGAGAAAGATAGGAACAATGGCAGACGGAGAAGGGAATACCTCACATTACTAGCAACATGCATTAGCAACGCCAGCCTAAGCCCAGCTGTCAGTCAGCACATTCCTTCCTTCCCATCCCCTTACAAAGAATCTATATTCACTGTTAATTTTGTAAAGAAGCCAAAGCTTGAATGAGCATTACTTAGGGATTAGATTCGCCTTCTTAAGATGCATCTCTCTTGTGTTTTATGTTACTGTTAGACACACTTTATTCTAAAGCGAATCCACACGAAGGCATGTGAAGTAAAAGGCTCTTTGATGAGTTTACAAGTTAACACGGAAACGTCTGCCTGTGCTCCCTTCACCCAGCATGCAGTTTAGGGGAGAGCCCACGAGAGGTCCTCAAAGATGCTGCTATCCAGAGAGCTGCAGCGACAGTGTAAGTTACGCCCTTTGGGTCAGCGAGCCAGCAAGGAAAGCACCTGGACGAAGTGGTATACAAAGAAACCGGTTATTTTAAGCAACTTGTCATAAATGTTAATCTTCACTCGGAAGTCAGGTAAACAGTAACAATAATTACTGTGTCCTTTCCCGAGAGCAGCCCCTGTCAGTAACCAGGTATCCCTGCATTCCCTTACCTGCAAGCTTCAGCCTGCACCATGTGAAATGGGTTTGTGGTTTCTGTCACTACAGGCAGCTTAGACTCACAGAAGGGCCTGGTTTTCCAGTGAGAGCTCGGGTATCCAGTCTTGGGCTACAGATGACAGCAGCTGAAATCAGTGCAGCGTCCTGTGATAGTGGGTGTTATAGATTATAAACCTGTGGGCTTGAAACCAGGAGGAGTTGTTCTGCTGATTTGACTGTCGTGGTGCAGCAGAATGCTGTGATTTGCTCAGTAACCTGTTCTGAAGGCAGTGCCTAGTGTTCAGTTGTAATATCAATATAGCAGAAGGCATCAAGTCTTGATTAAAGACTTCAAGAACTGAAGAGAATGCTCCTACTCTTGGGTTTGAGTTAATGCAAACATTCCCTGTGTGGAGGATTAATTAAAGATGAGAGCCAAAAAACTGGCACAGTTTCTGCTCTGAACAGATACAACGATTCTTCTTAAGCCATACTGGCTTAATGTCTTTGGCCAGAAGTGTTCCCCACAACCCCAAGGTGCTTCTCTTTACCCCAACTTATGTGTATCAATGTGCAGTACAAATAGCTACAGATGTGGTTTATGCTCAAGGGTTTGGTTTCCTTAGAAGACTTGGGCACTCAAGAAGGATGCTGGTGGTACAGAGGTACCTGAGTCCAGACTCCTGAGTATCCAAGCTTAGTCTTGTTGCAGAGGAGCCCAGCCTTCACAGGTCCACAACTTTGGGGTTTTAAGACCTCTAAACATGCAGTTTTGCCCAGTTTTGAACTTGTCTGGACTTAGTTTAGGACTAGGAAGTTCAGCATCATGCTTTCACCATGGCATAACAGATATATCTCCCAGCTCAAATGCTTAGAAAACTTTCATGCAATAATTATTCTTAGTGCATGTCCAGCACTTGTGGATATCACTGCAGCCTCTCAGCCCCTCCAGGACACATCCTATAGCTGTTTCCCAAGCAGGGCTGACCCCACATGCGGACAACCATTGCCCCATCAGTCAGGCAGCTCTAGGCTGCTTTGATACTTAGGGATGTTCTCCTTGTGTTTTTGAAGCTGACTAGTTGATTGTAAGGGAAGGAATTAAAGATTCATTGAGAAAGAGAGCATGCATGTAGAAGGGAGCACCAGTCAGGTTCAATGGTACAAGTGGCAAGCGGGAATTCCTGGATTCCATGATTATGCGTTAAAATGTCATCAGGCAACCTAAACAACCAATGGCAAAACCCAGGTCTTCCCTGTTCCATGGCCGCTCTAATCACAAAACAGCTCAAGGCTGAAGGTATATTTTTTCCTGTGGCATGCTAAGCCTTGGATCTCTTTGCACACAGTAATTGACACTGAGGATGCACCCTCAGTTATTCCTCTGCTGTGGAAGCCCTTAGAAACCTATTACGTACTGCATGGAAAACATGAAATGCAGGAGAAGTCACCACTTCCCTTGATCATTTCCTCCAGTGATTAATTATGCTTACAGTTGAGAACTGCACCTTAGTTTTAATTTCTGTTGGCTTTATTCCCAGCCATGGGTGCCTGTTGTGCCTTTCTCTGGTAATTTTAGAAGCTTGTTTTCTCTCCAGGTATTTATACTTTGTAGACTAGTCTTGCAACTGCCTTTGGATAAGGTAAGCAGACTGGGTTCTTCTAGTCTCTTAGAATTGTTTCCTTCCTCCCATCAATTAGTTGAGGTCTTTTTCATAGAATTATGGAATGGTTTAGGTTGTAAGGGACCTTAAAGCTCATCCAGTTCCAACCCCCTGCCACAGGCAGGGACACCTTCCACTAGATCAGGTTGCTTCTTGTTCTCTATCCAATTTATAACATCAAAACCATAAGAACCATTTCAACATCAGCTCCACTAATAGGAACTAAAGAGATAAAATCACTTCCCTCCCCCAGCTTTCTACAGGGTTGTTTATCTATCTGAGGATCACACTGGCCTTTTTACCCTCACTACTACCCTAGGTGCTTGAGTCCAGTGTGTGCTGGTGGTCATTCCTGAATCCTCAGGGTTGTTGCTTTCCAGGTTAAAGAATTCTATGTAGTCTTTGAGCTGAGACAAATAAACATGTTTGACTGTGTTAAAGGCATCTGTCTGGGAAAGAAATGCTTTGCTGGTGTCACTGGCATTGCTGCTTACTTACTGACCCATATTTTTATGGTACCTGTACATATTCTCAGTGCAATTTTACGTCTGCTTGTGGATCACACAGGGGGACCCACTTTCTTTGGTTATCTCAGTGCTGTCAGAGGCAGGTCTCTACTAAGTGCTGGCCCTTCTCTGAGATTACTGCAAGACTGCAGAAGTCATCATCTCCTGAAAGAGAACAGAAACGTCTCTAAAAATCTGGTGCATGTTTGGAACCTTGTTAATGTTTTCTCTTCTACTTCTTGGCCTGTAGCATTATGAAGATTGTTTATGTTCCTCATGGACTTTAAAAACTCCCTCTTAGCCTTGCCAATGCAGGGATTTTTTCCCCATTTCCTGTGGTTTTCTGTTATTTAACACTTCTCATGCATACTCTTCGTTATCTGATTCTCCTTTCTTCCATCTTTAACATTGCTCTTAATTGTTGCTTTCCACTGATTGTTTCTGAATCCAGATGGGAATCTAGTCGAGGCAATTTTCATTTCCTGATTTTTTGGGTCTCTCACTGTAGACTCTGGAGCTATCTTCTGCCCACCCTTAAAATCCAGCATCAGGGCATGTGGTCTCCTCTTTCCAAGCAGCGTGGTACTGTGACCATGAGCATTGTCCCCCAGCAGGGCAGAGGTTCAGTGCCAGAATGGAAATCTCCCAGCTTGAATTTTCCCCTTGCCTCCCTTCCTGTAGGAGCCTGTCTTTTGCCATGCAGGTCCAACCAGCACTAAATCCCATTTCTGCTTTGGAAAGGCTGCAGCACATTTCTTCCCTCAGGACATCATGTGCTCTGAAGGATCGTGCCTCCTGCCGGGTTGAGAACATGGAAGGGCTCAACAGGGGATTGTTGAGACCGAAGGCTTGGTGCAGGAATGTTCAGCATCCAAATGGTAGCCTTAAAAGAAGCTTGTGGGAAGTGCTGTTTCCTTGATTGGGAAAAGAACAGAGGCCGAGTAAGGCTGTGACTCAGCCAGTGAGTCAGCAGGATCTGCTTTCCAGTGAGGCCATCCTGTGCTGTTTAGCACTGTCACACCCTCTCTGCTGCCATGGATCAGTAAAAACCTTGTGCTGCTGCTTCTCTGTGTTCACAAAGTTATCCTGGTCCTTAATCTCTTCCCTACCACCTCCCACTGCACTCTCACCAACTTTCTGCTTCCTATATCCATCCCCATGGCTGCTGTCTCCTGTTGTGCCTTCAGTGCTGGGTGGATGTAGTTGGTGTGAGCTCCTGCTCTGCAGCAAGGGAGAGACCTTGTGATCTGTTCACAATGGAGGGAAAATCCTGGGAGTCAGCAAGAATTCACTGCAAGGAAAGGTACAGGGTGAGGACCTGATCCAGGTCCTGCCCAGGGCAGTGATGACCTCCATCACGCACTGCAGACTGTGGTGTCATGAAACGAGCTGGACCAGTGCTGCAGGTCCAGCATGCTGTACTTGAATGCATGTTGTGTTTACAGTGTCTGCTTCCCCATGCGGGGCTCTCCACTGAGATCCCAGTGCTCTTTCAACGTGAGACATGATGTCAACCAAAAGGCACTCGGGGACATGGGGAGGAGGGTGCTGGAGGAAAGAGTGACGCCCTGAGCCACACACAGCTCATGCTTCCTGGCCTCACAGTCTTAGGCACATGCTCAGCTCCATGGAAGCTCTCTTGTTTCCACTGAGTTACTTTAATTGAGATTGGACAAAGCAAATAATTTTAGCCATGCAGTATTTACATGCAGGCGAGCAGCCAGGACATACCTCTGTCTATGATTGCATCCACTGTTAAACAAAAATGTCCCACTGTTTTATTTATTAGCCAAACATTTCTACTAATAGCTGAGCTAATTTTATCCTTTTCTTACTGCTGGCTGATGATGAC